CAGAGCCGGGGAGGAGCCGCGGGGCAGCGGCGGCCGCGGGTCCGCCGCCCGCCGGAGCGGCCTGGCGCTGCCCGCGGGGAACGAGCCGGGGACCGCCCCGCGCCGCCGGTCCCGGGCCGGGCTGAGCGCGGCGCTCGGAGCGAGGCACCGCCGCCCCCGGGACGGGCGCGCCGCTGTCAGCCCCGGGGCCGGAGACAAAGACCGGAGCCCGGCCCCGCGCGGGGGTGTCGCGGGGCTCCCGGGGCCGCGCTCCGCTCCGGGGCGGCCCCGCGCTCATCTGCGCTGCACCGCACGCACCGGCCCGGCCGGTCGCCGCAGCGGGACGGTCCCGGCGCTGCCCCGCGGTGTCCCCCGGCCCCGCACGCCGGCTCCGTTCCTGCTCGCTTCTTTCCCCCCGGGGGTCTCTGGAGGTGGCAGCGCTCCGCCAGCGCCGGGGACAAACGGGATGCGCGGTCCCGGTGATTTCTCACTCGGTGCCACGCGTGGGCCGTGTTTCTCGTGGTGCCAGGTGCGCGCTCCGTCTCTGCCCGTCCGTGCCACGCCTGTGTGCCGTGCCAGTATGCGGCAGTGGCACGCTCCTGCCCCGTGCCAGCAGAAGTACGGCTGAGCAGAGGAGGTGGCAGCAAGATGCGAGCCTGGAGAAGGGCACAGAGGTGCAGGCGGGGGCACTTGGCTGCCTGCTGCCCTCACCGCACTCCCCTCACCCGTCCGACACATCCCCGAGGTGACGGTTGGGTTTGCCACGCTGGAGGCGGTGCGGTGACAGCAAGGTGCTGTCCGTCACACGGAAGCACTGAAATTAATGATTGAAATGCGCCGTTGTGAATCGCGTTGAGCCTTTTTACCCCGTTAGCTCTCCGGTCGGCTTTGAGCCGTTTCCCGGTGCCGCCATCCAGGTTGTGCAGAGCCCGCTGTGACGGCGATGGAGTGGGACAGGGGGAGTGCAGGAAGTCCCAGTTTGGGATTTTCTATCCAAAGGCACGTAGCACAGGGTGCCTCGAGGAACTTGCTCACACGCTGCAGTATTTTTGCTGACCACTAAAAATAAGATGGACATCCTTTAAAGCCTCGGTCAGCCGTGGAAGCACGGCTTTCTCAGGGGACAGCTGCAAGGAGCAGTTGGGGAAGGGTGGAAGTGGCAGAAAAGAGAAAAATGCTCTGCATGGTTGGGATCGGTCGCCAACTTTCTTGCAAAGGCGAGGTCGGGCTCAGCACATGGGCGTCCTGTGGGCACGGCTCGGGGCAGGGACCTTTTCCCATTCTATTTTCCCCAGTGATGAATTGACAGCCTCCCGGCCGTGGGAGGTGCTGCACAGTGCTGGCTCCAGCAGTGCAGGATGGGGCGGTGTGTGGGTAGGGCTGTGCCATGGCAGGAGCAGGAAGGAGCACGTTGGAGGCTCAGACCGTGGGAGGACCCGAGAACTGCTAAACCCTGCATGGAGTTCTGGGAGGACCCCTCACAGATGGGCCCAGTGCTCAGCTCGCTGCTTTGGGTCCAGCACGGATCCAGCAAGGCTTTAACTTGCACTGCATGGGTAATCTCATGACATGCCAGATCATAACGCATGAAATTGAGGCCACTCTTGTCCTTAAAAATAGAAGGGGAAAGGAAAAAAAAAAGCGCGTTTGGTGGCGCTGGCATTCAGGCTCTCAGTTCTGGATGACAGACACCGTTGTTGATCTGCTGAGGGCTCCTTTGCAGACAAACACGTGGTAACGCCCAGTCCGGGGCTGCTCACGCTCTGAAAGTTGTCCTCACTCACTGCCAATTAACATGAACTGGGCATCGCTTCTCTTTGTAAAGCTTTGCCAGGCAGGGTACCCCAGGCTGTGGGCTGTCGTGTTGGTTTATGATCATTCTCTCACCAGGAGAGACATAAAAATGAAGGAATCGGGAATTAGCGGTTGTAACACCCAGAAAATACTCTGCTGGGAACATGAGGGAGGTTTGGCTGACATGGGAGATGAGCTCAAGGGCTGCAGTGGGGTTCTGCAGCATGGGGAGGTGAGCAGTGTGATCTTTGAGGTCTCTTCTCGTGGTTGAAGAGTGAGGGTCCCCATTTGGAGGAGACACACACGGAAGGTCTTCAGGAAAAGAAAAGGAGAGATAAACATGTGTGCTGCAGAGGATAAGCCTGAAACCAACCGAGCCAGAAAGATGCTTCCTTTGTGGCCACTTCATTCCTCGCCGTGGCACTCCGGCCTTCCTTTGAAGTGCTGATGTTTATCAGGGCTGGGGCAGCACAGCACTGTGCATGGATGGATCCAACACAGCGATATCCCATCGCTTCCTGCGTTCCCCTCTGCTCCGACCCCACAGCTGCTCTCCATACCCGGCCCCGATCCATGCAGCGCTGCGCCGCGCCGGCCAGGTGGGCACCGTGATGTTTTGGAACAAATAATCACAGGGGGATTAATTGTATTTTGAAACAAATGTCACAACTGAGCAGTATCCCGGGCAACTGGGCAGCTTCCTTTCATGGGAGCCGCAAAGCAGAGGTGGGTGCGGAGAGGGAGAGGTTTGTGGACCGTCAGGAAATGGAGACAGGGAAGAGAACCGAACTGCAGCACTGCATTGGACAACTAGGTAGGAACCAGTGGTGTAAATCCATGCTTTGCTTTGGAAGGTGCTAACAAAGCATGGCAGCAGCTCCCTGGGATCACCCCTGGGGCATCCCACTGGGCATCACTGCTGGTCCATTCCTCACACAGCAGCTCTCATTCTCCAGTAGTGCCAACTCTGAGGTTTTTCCAAGTAGAAACTATTCCTGACTTTAATCAAAACCTAATTTAGATCCAGGTCAGATAATAAGTTGAAACTGCTAAGGGTAGTCCGCAAAGAGCCCACATTCCTTCTGGAGCCCATTGAATTTCTGTCTGTGTCACAGCACCAAAACATTATTTGGTGTCTCCTGCCTGGGACTGAGGCAAGCTGAGGAGTGGGAGCTACAGACTGAGTTGGGATTTGTGGGAATAAGAGGCGCTGCTCCCACCTTCTTACTCCAGCTTCAGAGCTCTGGGAATCAGACTGTGTGAGTGCTCAGTTGATGAGCATGGGGGGAAAAAATGATAGGAGGAAAAAAAGGGAAGGGGAAAAAAAAGCAGAAGAAGGAGTGCAGCAGTTTCTGGTTGGATTGAGAGACCCACCAGGTGCTGGGGCAGAGCAGGCAGGGGCTGCAGTTCGGTGCTGCGTTACATCCCAGCACTGTGTGAGGACATCAGTTGGCACCTGCCTGCACTCTGCATACAGCACTGCACCTCAGGGTCAGCACGTTTGCTGCTCTCCTCTTCGTCCTTTAGGAGAAAGAAGAAAAACCTCAGCCAGGAGGAGATGTCCAGGAAAGGCTGCATGGACGTGGTGTGAGCAGAGCTGGAGGGGACAGGTGCAGGGAGTTCTCATTGTCAGTGTGGCATGGAAATGATGTGCATTGAAAACAGTTGTGCGGTTTGGGAAGTGAAACAGTGAGCTCAGAGCAGTGCAGGGATGTGGGTTCTTGTGCTCTCAGCCCAGAGGAGCAGCTCTCCTTCCCTGTAGGTGTCATTTGTTCCTCTATAGGTGCATCTGCATGAGCTGTCCTCCCCCATTCCCATTGTCCTCCTCTGAAATCCACGCTGTGGGTGCGCTCTGGCAGCAGCAGCTGCAGCTGCAGACATCTGGAGGGGCTTTGCCTGCAGTGCTTCGAGGTCAGGGCACTGTGGGACAGCAGGGCACTATCTGCCAGCCATGTTCCAGCTCACCTCTATCCCACCTCCTCACACCAAAATGCTCAGACAAAGCTGTTAACTGACAGAAAATGGTCCTCATTATGACCCTGCCTGTCTGGGGGGCTCACTGCAGTGTGAGCATCGCTGCAGCAGCACAACCTGCAGGGCTGGGTGCTGGGAGAGCCCTGCGGGATGGGATGCTGCTCCTTCCTCCCAGCTCCAGCAAGACAGCGGCTGAGTGGGCACTGAGGCGACTATTTCCTTTTTTATAGGGGTGAATGGTTAGGGGTTTTTTTTGCCTGATTTCTTGGTATTTTCCCAGGGGTGCCAAAGGTCACCCCGGTCCCCAGATAACGCAGATTCTGTGTCACACTGGGCCTCAATGGGTTAATTTTTGTGCTTCTCTCCCCAGCTCGCTGCGGACTC